AGCCCATTGGACTATGTACTCAATACCCAACTTTGGAGATAAATCTAAATCACGTGAGATTTAGATGGTTGCAATGGTTATACTATCATTATCTTAGATAACCATTTTCAGTTTTCTTCAACTCTATCCTGCCGGTTCTTTCTGAGAAATTTGTTTTCCTTCGCCTGTAAGTTGGACTCTTGGCCTCACTTTCTTCACACACCAAAAATCGGTCTCCGCTTTGTGCATAGTAGAAAATCAGCTTCTGCCTTTGTGCGCCTCTGTCTCTGTGACTGAAAAATCTCTAATTGACGTTATTTTTGTGGTGTTGGATTGATTATTTCTGAGCTGAATCAAAAGCGGAAAATATTGTTCTTTAATTCTTCTTTTTCATTTTGAGTTCCTTAAGTTTTCAAGTTAATTCCTTCACTCGGTTGATTTGTTCAATTGTAGATGGGATTAGCTCAACACATACCCTTAGAAAGTAGCAACAAATGACTTCCATTAACCCTCACACTGAGATTGTTACTCAACTAATTTAAAAGCTCAATGTCAAGGTATTTTTGTCCTTAACTTCAATTAATAGAAATCTGTAGATTCTTAAGATCATCTATCGAATTCCTCATCGTGTAGACCGAAGGGAGTTATCCTTGCGAATGGAATAGCCAAACCAATGATAGAGTCATCAGTCATACAAGCTCAATGTCAAGTTATTCGAAACCACACCACCCAGAAAACTGAAATAGCCAAAAATCTTTTTCTCTGTGCTAAAAGAGAACCTCATCACCACCTTCCAAATATCCAAAAAGGAATCATCGCCCCTGGTCGATGCCTTAACGCAGAGAAACCCATATCTGTTTTCCTAACTAATAGAAGTTCATGCCTGAGAGAGAGAAAGAGGCATAGGCATATGTACAAGAAATTTCTCCATCCAAAGAACACATCTGTTCAACCCAACACCATCATTTCAATATGAGGAGTAAGCTCCCATTTGGATAAGCGGAAGAGTTTTGCTATTTGTACACCGAGGTACATGGGCGGATCTAGTGGTGGGCTGCACTTGGCTGCAGCCCACTATTGCCCAGGTCCAATACACTAATTATTTTTTATTTTTTTTTATTTTTTATTTTTTGATTTGAATTGTTATGTATTAGTCCACATTAGCCCACCAACAATTAATTTCAATGGGGTAGCCCGCCTCAAATGATTTTTTATTTTAATCTTTGGCCCACTTATTTGTAATCAATAGATTCAACACCCATTGTCCCATTTCTTCCTATTTTTCTTCACGTATAATCCCATCCCTTTGGCCTTTGCAAACCACTTGAAATAATTCCCAAAAATCAAAATCTTTCAACCATAAATAATTTTACCCATGACCCACCTGTAGCCGCCGATCGAGACAGTCGAACCATCGACCGCAGACCACCAACCATCGCTATTGTCAACGCCGACTGCCTGGTCTACCGACTTGGGTTAGGGACTTAGAGTAAGTAATTTACTAATTTTCCTCCAATTGTCCAAAAAGAAATTCTTTCAAGTTTCAACTTTGGGATTTATTTTTGTCATTTAGAAAATGGGTTCTTATATTTTCGGGATTTTTTTTTTGTTTAATTTTAGGTGAAGCATTTTGATTCTTTAAAGTATTGTGTCTGTGCTATTTGCTAAGAAAAGGGTCCAAGACTCCAAAGGCTGTTTAACTAGTTAAGTAGGTTCAAGGTTGGTTATTTGACTTGGGATGAAAAATCTCATTTCATGGCAAACAATATAATTGGAATTGGAAATTTGGAAAGTTATCTATTGGTAATTATTAATTAAACAAAGATAATGTACCAGTAACAAAGTTGTTAAGCTATCTACTGTCCAATTGTGTAATTTGTGTTGATGATTTATGGTTATGATTTTATCTATTTATGTTTATGCCATTATGGGATATTGAAGCATTTTGATTTTTATTCTTTTAGATGAATTTTATGCTGTAAAATATCGTCGAGTACAACTACAATAGGTAACTTATATTATGAATTTTTTTATTATATATAAATTTTATTCGTACATTAAAATTTTAAAATCTTTTGCCCTCGTAGC